GACTTGAGGACAGCTTCTAATTTTCTTGTGTCTTGACAATACATGTCTGTATAATAACCTCTTCTTAAGCCATGCTTTTCTAACCAAGAACATGTTGTAATGGTGATCAGAATGTCACATCCATGATTATATTCTTTGTCCTTTGTCATTTCTGGACAGATTTCTCTCTCCCTCTCTCCCTCTCCTCCCTGTCCCTCTCCTCCCCTCCCCTCCCTTTTTCTGTCTCTCTGTGCTCCATTATAATGCAACAAGCTTCTGTGTGGTAAGGTTCACATGGCAAGATCTGTGAGCAGCTTCTAGTTCACTGTCAGTTAGAGATTGAGGCTCCTGGTTGTAAAACTGTCAAGTGACTCACTTTTGCTACCTCTAAACACAGATAGATGGCAACCTCAGTTAACAACTTAATTACAAACGTGCAGAGACACCTGGAAGCAAAGAACCTAGTTAAACCATGTACTGTTGATCTACAGAAGCTGTGGATTTAGAAATACATGCTCTATTAAGTTGTTTAATTTGTGTTAATCTGGTACTTTTCATCACATAATAATACTCTGTTTAATCAGGTAGCAAGCTGATAGTTTCTATAATGTGATACATATCTACTTTTATTCATTTCAGTCATTTATTGATCTTAACAACTTGGATAACCTAGTAGAAGGATTGTTTTAAGTCCAGCCTAGGCCATATAGGGGAAGACTGTATCAAAGACCAACCAACCAACCAGGCAGCCAGCCAGCCAACCAACCAACCAACCAGTCAGCCAGCCAGCCAGCCAGCCAACCAACCAACCAACCAATCAACCAATTCTATCAAATACAAAAAATTTCTTAGAGTGCTATTGCTTGCCTTTGAAAAGCCTGTAGAACGTCAGACTTTTTAGGCAGCCACTTAAAACAGAATGGGGTAAACATTTTAACGAAGATAGGAGCTGACAATATGAGCTGTGTTGCTTATAATGATTTAAAGTGGACTTTACAGTACTTAAGTGTAACATTTAACATTATTTAGGTGCAGCAGTATTTCTTCTGTGAGAAAATGCATTTATATTTTTATGCTTTAAAAGATGATCTGGACAGTTTTACATACTATTCTGCACCTAGCCACTTATTTACCAAAATACAACGCCTTACATATTGTATTTGACTTTAATGAAAGCTTTAAAATTCAGTGGCTTAAATAAGTCCTGCATTTATCTCTCTAATAAAACTTGGTGCAGACAGTCAATGTAGATAGGTTTCCATGAAGCAATCCAGAGAACCCAGCAACTATGTTTAGTTGCTCTGCCAAGCTGTGCATCCTGGGAGTTAGGTCACTATGTCTGTATTTCTGGAATAGAGTGCACAGCAGGAATAGAATGGGAGAAACATTGTAGGGTGGACATTTTTTTTTTTTTTTTTTTGGTAAAGCAAGTAATATAGAAACTGAACACATTGCTCCCTCTAGCATTCCATGGCTGAAAATGGAGTCACATGGCCACACCCAGCCACAAGGGGAATAGAATATGTAGCCTCCAGATGGATGGCTGTGTTCCCAGCTGAAACTCAATTCCAATGGAAGAGAAAAATAGATCTGGAAGGGAGGAGGAGCCAGAAGTCTATCACGCATAGGTATGCAGACACTACATACAAATTGATTTCTGGTTTCAGCATTTTTATTTTCATTTTCTTGGTAGGCATTCTAAAAAATAATGTCAATTTTATTTTCTATGACTAGAATGAGAGTTAAGACGCTTCTAGAGCCAAACCCACGTCCTGTAGTTGCAGTGTGAGGATGGGGCAGAGGATGAGATGAGGGTGTGTTTCACTTCAGCTCCACAGAGGAGTAAGAAAACCACAAGGAGACTGAATGCACCAGAGTTTTATTGTAAAAACAGCAACAATGATAAAAGATTGAAAAAGAGAAAGCCACAATCCTCTCACTTCCCAGTGGACAAGGCCTTACCACGGGACTTATATTTTATTACCCTGTTAGGCTGGCTTAGGAGGATGAAGTTGAATGCTCACAGAGACAGAGACTTAGATGGCAGGTGGTGGCAGCACATAACCTTTAACCGCAGCACTCAGATGCAGAGACGTGTGGATCTCTAGGAGTTCGAGGCCAGACTGGTCTACAGAGTAAGTTCCAGAACAGTCAGGGCCACACAGAGAAACTTTGTCTTGAAAAATCAAAAACCAAAACCGAAAAAAAAAAAAAAAAGTCAAGGGCTGCCCGCTCTGTAGCTTGCACTGTTTCTACAGACTTGTGCTTCTTTGTGCTTCAAGTTGTGTCACCCAAGACAAAGAGTTCCTTTATATATTGCCACATTTCTAACAATGCTGAGATGCTGTAACTCTTGAATTGCATTGCAAGTAGCATAAGTGAATTCTATGGAATTATTATTCGTCATTTCAGTTTATTTTTCTAAGGTTCCTTTTTTTAAAATAAAAGCACGGGAGACTGAACCTAAGGGGCTATGCCCCACCTTGTCATAGTGCCCTGTAGACTGAGCTCTTACAGACGGACTGTTTCTGAGGGAATAAAGAACAAGCTGGAGCGAAGCAGCTCCTTAGTGAAGTTACTGTTATGATCGAAAGGATAATGGAGTTGCATTTAGTGGGGTCAGGTGGGCCTGCCCATCCTGGAATAACCAGGACACAGGTTGAGGGGGATGACTGGGTCATTTCTCATATCTTCTTGCATTTTTTGTCACATAATACACTAGGCAAGCCAGGTACCTGGCTGACTCTTACTAACATTAAAGTCCTCATTAAGACAATGAACTCTCAGGCCTGGAGACCTAATATTCTAGCTGGACTGGGCCCTTCACTTGGCCAAAGGGCTACCCATAGAAGGGTGGACTCACCTTAAGTTAGGAGAGATAGGTGGGGTAAACTAGGTCTTCTATGAGATCCTGTCCGGTTTTCTACCTACCATCCCAATCCCCTGTACAGGCTGTGTAGCTAGTTAAGTCAGCCTCCTTTTAGTCTTTCTATCTCTTCCTAATCTTGCTTTCCTTAACACTCTGGACCTTCTTTCTTTTTGTAACCCTACCATGCAGCTGCTTGTTGGCCATGTATCTACACCCTGTGCCAGCTTCAATGGTGTCTTAATTACTGTTCTATGGCTGGAGAAGACACCATGTCCTTTGAAAAGAAAATATTAATTGGCAGCTTGCTTACAGTATAAGTTGAGTCCATTATCATCATGGTAAGGAGCACGGTAACATGCAGGTAGACACTGTGCTGGAGAAGTAGTTAAAAACTATATCCTGCTCTACAGGCTGAGAGATCATCCGGGCATGAGCTTTTGAGGTTCACAAGGCCACACCTTCTAATCCTTCTATTCTCTGGTGACTAAATATTCAAATGCAGGAGCCTATGGGGGCCATTTTTATTTAATCACCACAAATGGCACGGCTGCTTTCCATCTCCCTTTGTCCTCCTCTGAGAAGCAGCTGAGGCTTACAGTCTTCAGAGTTGTTCTTTTAATCTCTAATAAAATTGTCCTTGAGCCTTCAGTCTGCCCTTAAATTATGTTTGTTTGTTTGTTTATTTATTTATTTAATGAGACTAAGCATCCCAAGAAGGGATACAGATTTCTGTGTCATTTGGTGACCAAAAGGAAGGACCTCTCCAATTCCAGTAACAGCAGCGTAGTGGAAAAACCTCAGTACTTCAGGAAGGAGATGAGGGTCTGGGGTGATATTTTGGTGCTGGAAAAGAAAGTCCATTACACATTGTAGAATACCACTCATATGGCTGACTGCTGTACTGCTAGCTGGGAGAAGATCAATATCCAAACACAGCTTCTGCTCTGTTTCTTTGTATGACGTGCCCTCCCCTTTCTCAGGATTCTGTTGTTAGTGCTCTTTCTCTACCCTCTCAGAATTCATGAGACTAATGTAACCATGAGTTTAGACAGAACTTTCAATGAGTGTTTTAAAAACATTTTATTTATTTATTTATTGCTGATTAAATCTAGCAAGAGGACTAGCTTAGTCCATTCAAGCTGTTCAGTTTGTGCTACATCGAGAAGAGCATTAGAAAAAAGGGAATCACTGTGTGAAGTGTGGTATGCCTTCCTTGGAAACTAGCTTACTTTCTGACCTTTCTTTGCCTTGGGTTCTATATTCTGAACATCAAGACCAATTTCCTTTTGAGCTATTTGTAAAGATAGACTAATAAAACAGATACGTCTCTCTTTTTTTTCCAACTCAAATGAGCTATTTACCACTGTAACTGGCATTATCACTCAAAAGCTTTCTTACTGGAGAAGAAAATACCAGCATCGCAGTGCTGGAGGTGAAAGGTAACTTCAAGTCATGATTAAGCAGGGACATAGGGCAATAAAACCAGGGTCTAGTCCTTTGCCAAAATTGTCAGTCATGAGATAGGCAAGATTCAAGGTCTGAGAAGATAAAACCTGTGTGGTTTTACACGTGTTGAGTTGCTAGAAAAATAACACCTCTCTCTAGATATGAAGGTCTTCACAAAGAGGTAATGAGTCCCTCCAAACAGTTGGGTGACATGAGCTGTCACTAGCCTATACAGCTGTAGACCAAGAGTGAAGGGAAGGCCATTTGCAGGAGACAAGGAAATTGTGCGATCTTAGGCTGGGGTGCCAGATTCTTAGGACGTTCCCAGGCCTGACTTCTCTCCTCCTTGCTAGTCCCACTCTGGGGAGGTGGTGGCAAGCGCGGACCTCCGGTTGCAGCAGAGGGCCGGCTCCTATACTCTAGCACAGCACTGTCTGGAGACCCCGCGCGCATGCGCATCGGCGTGACCCAGGCAGCTCCTTTAGTCGCCGGCATCCCCTCTTACCTCCTCACCCCGACCTACCCCAGACACCGGGTTCCCAGCGCGCCGGTCACCCGCAGGTCACCCGCCGGCTCGTCCGGGGCTCGGCCGCGCGCCTGCGCACGGGTACCCCGGCGCGCCGGGTTACTAGAGGTGGAGCGCCGGGAGGGCGCGCGCCAGGAGGCGGACGCCGTTACGGCGGGAGCGTGGTCACGTGGCCGCTGGTCACCGCCGCCACCTCCCGCCCTGTTCTCTTGCTGGTCGGGCCAGGCCCGGCGTGTTCCAGGAGAGCCCGGCAGACTGACGGGGAGAGAGAGAGAGAGCGAGCGAGAGAGAGGAGAGAAAGAGAGGAGAGAGAGACAGAGACAGAGAGAGAGAGAAAAAGGAGGGGAGGAGGATTCAGGGAATAGGAGCTGGGGAGCCCTGCTGCGCTACAGGTAAAAAAACATAACGATGCTAACGGTGAAAAAGCGCCTCGCCTCCCCTGTCAGCCTCCCCGGCCAGCCGCACACCCGTCGCTCCCTCCCCGGCCTCTCCTCAGCCTCGCTGGGCCTGTCCCGCCGCCCGGGAAGGCCCGAGCCGGCTGCGGATTGCTCGCGGGCTGGGAAGGAAGGCATGGGGTGGATCTCCGTCCGCTGCGGGCCGGCGGGCGGGCGGACGGGCGAGCGCGCACACGGGCGAGCCGGCCCCTCAGCCTGTTCGTCCCCGTCCCGTCCCCAGCTCCCCCGGAGGAGGCCCGGGCCGAGCCCGGAGAGCAGCTACGGGGTAGAGCCGGGCGGCTCAGCCAGCCCTACTTCCTCCTTGGTCGGTTCTCTGTTTCTCTCAGCCCTGGGCAGCATGTTTCCTTCACAGGCCGGAAGTCAGGCGGCTCGAGCCCTCCGCCGAGCAGCCCCGGAGGAGACATGCCTTCAGATGCCATAGTGCTCCTTAAGTTATTCACACCAGCGCCTGTCAGTTCGAGGCCTGTCAGGACCCGAGGAAAACTACCGGGAGAGTTGCCCTTCCCTCTCTCTCTCTCTCGCTCTCTTTTTTTTTTTCTTCCTGGAGATGTACTGTACTTCCAGTACACGCTGTGCAGACGCGACCTAGAGTTTGGTCAATACTAGTTACTAACAGGGTTTCAGTGTTAGTTACTAACTGATCTAGCGCTTGAGAATGGTAAACAGCCTTTTGAATGTTACATCTTTTACAGCCCCCTCACCTTCCACCCCCCCCCCCCCACCACCACATCACTTTCCGCAGAGTCTCATTTCTCGATTCTGAACTGGTCTGAATCCTGAAACTTGGACATGCAGGTTACGTGCTTGAGGTGGATTGTGCTGAAGTGTCCGGGCGTCTGTACAAGTCCTTACATCAAACGTAGTCCACAAAACCACCTTTTGGTAGTGCGCTGTTGCACAGGATGCGTCTTGCGTAAGCACTATTGAAAAAGAAATCTTTGAATACAGTGGCAAAGGAGTTCACTTTTACTTTATGTGTCTCGGGTTCTGTCCTATCCCAGGACTTCCTTGGTGTCTGAATTTAAGTGGAAAGGACTGCAGCAGTGTGATACAGAGCAGTCATCAAACATGAGTCCCTGGGGTTCCTGTTAAAATGTGATATTAATTCAGTAGATTTGATAATTGATACAACGTGTTATTCTGCATTTCTCATGTGCTGGACAAGACCTTGTTCAGTACAAAAGATGTAGATATCTTCAGTGTATAGAAATGAAATTATGTGTCTGTAAAGGGGATAT